ATCGATCGGCACACCTCTATAATAAAGATGGAGCCTCCTTGCTTTTTGTTCTCTGTGTGTTCGGCCAGAGCAGGGCAGTGTGGCTACCAGTTAAATTGATGATGTCTCCTGTCTCCTATGTATTTCATAAGTTAATACTTCTGCAAAGATGTATTCACAAGGTACAGATGAAGAGTCCAGAGATTCCCGTGGAAATAATAGGAGATCCGCTGCTGAAGAACCAACACCTTTTTTACTTTACATTTTATAAGCAGTGTTGTAAGATGTCTCACTCATGTATAATTTAGGGTACTGAGAACCTTAATGTTTATTATTTCACTACTTTCAGGTTTTTCAATTGTCCTTTTGACTGAATAGCTGCTGTATTTAGCAAGTATTTTGCATGTTTTATGTCTAAATTAGGTGAATTTATTGCCAGATCACAATTTTTCACTTCAAGTATAAATACTAAGCCAATCCAGATGATCGGAATCTGCAGTAAAAAAAAAAACTGATCAGAGCATCCCTAGTAGTTGGAATACAAAAATCATTGTTAGCTCACTTTGCAACATCTGGGCCATCTGCTTTTGTAGCAACTAAAATCCTGTATTTTAGGCTATGGTTACTGTTCCTGGTTTTACGTCCGCTCAATTAAGATTCGTACTGCCGATCTTCACTTCGACATTTATTATCAGAGCAATGTCTTTTGTCGTGCCATTTTCCATATAAATTTGGCATAAATCAAAATCAAGCACAGTAGAAAACTGTTAGCCTCTTCCTATTAACACAACAGAATCACACTTGACCTTAAATATCCCCACCCCTTCAGACACACTCAGAACTCAAAATGAAATACGCCCCCTGGTGGCCATAAACACAAGAAAGTGTGACCAGCAGGTGGAGATATTTTTAAAAGTTACAAAATGCACCCGAACACAGACTGAGCAGTGCACAATATTTTATTAAACAATTTCCTTAAAACATTTCTTTTTCAAAAACGAGGCTTCAGGCCTAATACTCGGTCCCTGGAACAAAAGGGAACACATAAAGGACGGACAAGTTCAATTATTCCAAAAGAAATAAACAAAACATGCAATGCAAAAGAAATTTTTGCATTGCATGCAAAAGTCAAACAAACAAAAAGAAAACAAATTAGTAACTTCAATAACACAAAAAATACAAACTGTAAAAGGAAACACTTAAAAATATGGAGCACATCATCCAGTTCCAAATGCCCTTCGATGGGGCCAGAGGAGTAACGCCCCGCCCACCAATCAACGCTGCGCTTCCTGCTGCATCCGGTGCGCAGAGAGGGGGAGGGTGGGACTCCATCCCACCACTCTCTGTTTGCAGCATTTTTCTTTTGAATTTGTATATTTTTTCTTTTCCAGTTGTGGAGATTGCATCATTGTTGTGTT